TCAGAGCTCATGGGTTGCTTTTTGAGATTTTAGCAACTCTGCTTCATAAACCTTCGTGTCCACGCTGGTTTGGAAGCACCGGTTACACTGTTCTGTGGTTTGCTGCTGTATGCCACTGTGCTGTGTGTTTGTTGTTGCTGTGAGCCTGTTTTCAATCTGAGGTGACTATGTGACGCAGCAGGAATGCCACACGTGGTGGTGGTTGTATACTGAGTGAGAACTAACACACAGCTGACCCTCCAGTGGGTTTCCAGAGGCCCATCCTTCTCCAGTGAGCAGCTGGTGGATTTGAACCATGTGTCTTTGGGACAGCAGCACGATTCCTTACCACTAAGCCACCAGAGCTCCCAGAATCCCCCATAGGTTTCCTAAACTGTCGTCTGTACAGAAGCAGATTGCTGGTTCTGCAGAGTCAGTATTAATCCCATGATGGCTAAGGATACATTACCAGAAATAAAGGAGGAAGAGAAAGTTGGGCAGCGTGATGGCCAGCTGGATCCCTTGCCAGTTGGGGATAAAGTAGGCAATTCCAGGAAGAATTATGATTCCAAGGGTGAAGAACATTTGAATCACTATTCCCACAATCCTCCTTTGTTTTGAACCCACTATTTCAGTGACTGAGGGAAAACAAACACAAGAGGTTAGAGAGGTGTTAAGATCTGCTCCAAAACAAACACATCAAGCAACTCCGTGCTTGCCTGTGAGGACCAGGGGCCAGGCAGCATTCCTGAGTGTGATTTCCAGGGAATTACGTTATCTCACTCTCCCTTTGACTGGCTGACTCGCCACAATGATTCACCACCATCCAAACCAGCGTGCTTTGGGGGACAACAGACCAGTACAAAGAAAGACGTGCTGTCTTTAGGGAAGTAGAAACAAATGATGATTATTTTGAGGAGTTATAATTATCAAACCACAAGAACCGTAAGCTAGCTAAATCTCATCACTGCACCTAGAAACACACATTTAGGGAATTCAAAAGGCTCTGGTGGCATTGTGATGAAAGCATTTATCTGCTTCCCTAACGGTCTACAGTTCCAACCACCAGCCTCCTCGCAAGAGAAAAAGTAGTCTTCTTCTGTAAAGATGTATACGTAGATTGAAAACTCTACGGACAGTTCTATTTCTGCCCCCCCCCCCAAGTTGCTATGAATTGGAACATGCTTGATGGCAATGAGTTTGTGTTTTGGGGATTCGTTACCAATGCCCTCTGTTGTTTAGGACCACCAGGTGCATTCCTGAGTGGTAGCGCCCACATGGGAGAGGCCCCAGTCCAGGGAGTTTTCTTGACTATAATCTTTACAGAAGCCAATCGTCACGCCTTTCTCATGACTCGCTAAATAAGGTTCTTCTCATGATCACAAGATCGTTTCTATCAAATGAAGGCCCTCCACAGTGTTGGCATTACCATTATGTGATATTTTTGCTGCTGGTATCCTTCCTCCCCTGCTCCTCCCACCATCTGGCTTCCTCTGTTCTGATGATCTTGGGGTGAACTACCTTACTGTTGCCTTAAGATTACAACTCTGGAAACCCACCAAGACTCGTGTGTGTCCTTAAAAATTACTCACAACTCAAAATGATCATGACTACTTTCCTCACTCACTCACTGCTTTCAAATTGGAGCCAACTCATAGCTGACCTTCTATTGATTCTTTTGAGGCTGCAAATCACTGTGAGGCCATTGCTCGTGAAGCCACAAGAAGATCCGAACCATCAGAGAGGCACAGCCTTTGGGTCTGCAGTGCAGCACCCAGTGAATTCCCTTTACTTCTACCAGTACCAATTCTTTCCCTCTCCCACAGAAAAAAGTCCCTATCTTTCCCAAAGTGGGCACCTCTTTAGACTGGCCTGGCAGTATGGGCCATACAGAAACTAGAGTAACAATGCAGGAGAAGCTTTTTTAATTCCTAAAGGAAGTGGCTGGTCCTGGACATTTATATATAGAGATAAATGTAGCATGCTAGGCTTGTCCAAGCTTTCCCAAGGACTAATGGGAAGTTGTTTTGCGGTTTATTTTGCTGCTATTGTTGTTTTTCATATTCAGTGGTCTATTTTTCTAATTAGGCTAATATACAGTTTAAAGGTAAACTCACCATGGGTAGGCCCTACCTCTTTCATGATAAAAGGTCTCCACTTATATGGAAAGCAATCATAAACTCTGTCACAGAAATCTACAAAACACACTTTAAAAGTTTTGCTCCAGGACTTAAAGAACAATAAATGACATAGTTGAGCCTCTACATCTTGTGGTTCCTAACCTTTATACTATAATAGACAAAGTGCTAGTCAATCGGCCTTTTATTGTAAGAACTACCTTCTCTCTCTAACTTGATTTGTGCCACTATTAGAGCCTCTACTTGGAATATTATTGCTTTTTAATTTTTTAAATTTTT